TCTCTCTCTCTCTACCTACCTCTCTCTCTCTCCTCCTCTCTCTCTCTCTCTCTCTCTCTCTCCTCTCTCTCTCTCTCTCTCTCTCTCTCTCCCTCCCTCCTCTCTCTCTCTCTCTCTCTCCCCTCCTCTCTCTCCTCTCTCTCTCTTCTCTCTCTCTCTCTCTCTCCTCTATCTCTCTCTGTATATAGATCGGCGCAAAGTCAGCAAGTCTTGGATTGGTCGGGAGGTCCAATCATAGTTGGCTGGTAAGCCGTACCTGGTCGGCTGATGTTCGTGAACAAAGTCGGGGGAAGTTCCTGAATGTGTGAGAGGGGCTTAAGGGACTAAATTTGATTCAGGGCCTGTTTTGAACCAAGGGTCAAGTGGGTGAATGCAAAGCTTTCTTTTAGAAATTAGAAAATGTATTATTTTTTATGTATACGTAGTCGATAACGTACGTATCATTTCTCCCCAGGTATCATCAGTCCAGTTGTGAACCCTGAGACCCCCTGTGGTGGTCAGCTGAAGGAGGATGCTGGGATCGTAACCCATCTGAACTATGACAACAGCATGGACTGTGAGTGGAAGATCTCCGTCTCCCCTGGCAACTACGTCTACATGGAGTTCACTCAGTTTGAGCTGGAGAATCCCAGCTCCAGTACCGGGACCTGCCGGTAGGTTTTCTGTATACCTCCGTGAAAAATGGAGGTATTGTTACCTTCGACAAGAAGGTTATGTTTTTCGGAGCGTTCGTGTGTCTGTCTGTGTGTCTGTAAACATGATAATTTAAGAAGGCTTAAATGGATTGTCTTGATATTTGGTAGGTGGGTAGGTCTTGATGAGACCTCGAAATGATTAGATTTTGGACCCCTATCGGCTTGTTATGGTACTGCAGCTGAACTGAAGCCGATTTTGTTATCTCATGATCTGGACGTGCTAGGGTCACGAAATTTCGATGATAGGTAGCTCTTGTGCTGGGGAAGAAGTGACGTAAGTTTGGGCCCCCTATCGGCTTGCTCTAGAACTGCAGGGGCGTTTGTTTGAATAATGTTCAAAAGACGATAACTCATGAAGCGGTTGCACGATCATCATGATTTTTGGTATGTAGGTAGCTAAAGTGGAGCTTGACATAACTATGTGACAATCATGTAATATGCATTGTACGTTCACGTACAATGTAAAGCAAAGCGTTGTATATCGCACATTTTATGCACTGATACATTAGTACATTGTACTTGGGAGTGACGAATCTTATTCTGTTGTATGTCTTTATCAATAAAACTTGAACTTGAAACTTGAACTTGTCTTCTGTTCTAGCTATGACTACTTGGAAATCTACGACGGCCTCTCTGACAGCGCGCCTCTCCTGGTTACACTGTGCGGGGACGAGCGGCCCAAGCCCATCCAAAGCACGGGGAACCGCGTGAAGCTCGTGTTTAAGAGCGACGGAAGCCTCACTAAGGACGGGTTTGAGATGCGTTACTACGCCGTGGATGACGGTACGGGGTCTGGGGAGGGGAGCGGCTCTACTGTGGTGGACGCACGCGACATGGATGCCTTCATCTTCTAAACAACTTAACTACACGGGTTATTTCTCTGTAGCCAAAGAAACAACAGGAGAGGGGTGAAATAAACACAAAGAGAAAACATTCCAACTTGCATTCTTGCTGCGATCTTGTTGATTTGATTGTTCTTTTTTTTAAATTTCTATACAAGATCTTAAGCCCACGCCAATTCAATTTGTTGTTTCTCAGATTTTTTTCAGAAAAAATATGAAGCGACAGGGCGACATAAAAATTAACAACAAAACAGGCCAAGGCACCCTATTATACCCGGAAATGTTAACTATATGAGCCATAAAGTGAACATCCCAGGCTGGTTAATAATTAAAACAATTGATTTTATACTTTTAATGAAACAAAATTGCCATGTTACATTAAAAAAACTTTAAGAACAAGGAAGAAATTGACTTTTTTCAACCGTTGGGGACAAAATATGTCTTTCATTGATCATTCTGCAGTTTAATTTAGAACCAAAAAAAATTCTCTTTTTTTTGCAAATAACACAAAAATGGACAGGGCGATCCGAAAAGCAACAAATTAAATTGGTGTAGCCTAATCGTTCTTTTATAAAAGAATGGGGAGTAGGCATTATCACATTTTGTGGCAAAAACATTGAAAATTTGTTTAAGTAGAGGGCCCCGGTTAGCCTGGGTACCATCCCCAGTAGTATATTCGCAAACTCTATAACCAGTTATAGAGTTTGCGAATATACTACTGGGGATGGTACCCAGGCTAGGCCCCGGTATGGAAACTATAAAAAAAATTCCAACAGTCTTCAAAATATCCAACATTGTCGTTCTGACCTACATAAAACTATTCTGGAGGCATTGTGACGTCAATAATTAAGATATTAGGTATTTGACCGGCAGAAGCCGTATTTATCTTCAAGTTGTTATCTAAGCATAAACAAACCTTCCTGCCACAGGTGTTATTGTTCCCAAAACATTTTGAAGACGATGAAAACGTTGTAATAAAAGGTCTAGACCCGTCGGCCGGGTCAGTTAGTAGCGCCTATAAACCCCCCCACTGTTACAACGTGATAAAACTACAAAAGAAACCTACAGTGGGTCTCATGATCAATTGAAGACAGAAGAAAAATGTCCAGACTATGCATGATGTACAAAATGACTAATAAACTGGTGGACGTCCCAACTACTAAGTACCTAATACCAGCCCAGAAGAGAACAAGAAATAGCCATGCCTTCATGTACCAGAGTTATCAACCAAGGATTGAGGTGTTCAAGAATTCATTCTTTCCTAGAACTATCGCAGACTGGAACTCCCTGTCACCACTCTGATTACTACACAGTCCCATTCTTACCATTGCCTACATAAGATTCAGGATTTGGATCCATGTCTCACGGAAATGAAAAGAAACCTACAGTGGGTCTCATTGGAAGACAGAAGAAAAATGTCCAGACTATGCATGATGTACAAAATGACTAATAAACTGGTGGACGTCCCAACTACTAAGTACCTAATACCAGCTCAGAAGAAAACAAGAAATAGCTATGGCTTCAAGTACCAGAGTTATAAACCAAGGATTGAGGTGTTCAAGAATTCATTCTTTCCTAGAACTATCGCAGAGTGGAACTCTGTTGAAGTACAGTAAGGGCATTATCATTAGATAGCTTTAAACAATGTCTAGAGTTAGAAGTTCAAGGGTTAGGTGTAACAAGTCGATCGGTGTGATGTAGCCAGCTGCCGCCGCGCCGCGTGCCTGTGAAGCTGGTGTGTTACGCCGAAAGGCGGTTATACCGGCTATACGGATACAGATACAGAAGGCAGTAAGGCATAATTCTTCAAAGAAGTTATTTATTACACATACATGTATAAAATACAGCAGCAGCAAGAAATTCCGTTACGTAAATTGATAGAAAACGTTTTAATCTATACTAACTCTTATCACATCACCATAATATATAATTCACAAGACTGACATGAAGCATATTAAAAGCATGTAAAATTCAATGCGTAACAATTTATGAAAAGCATACTTTCAAAATATCCTCGTATATGATATCAACAAGTTATCAATTAGAATTAACTATCTTTTTCAATGAGTCATTTCAAACAGAAAGGGTAACGATGCCTTGGTTTTATGAAAATCACACTGAAATCCTGAATATAGAATGCTTTTTCTAAAATAAAAATGAGGGAAAACATTTTCCTATACTTGGAATTTTGCAGCCCACATTTATCAAAACAATACCTCTATCTATGTATTAAATTATTACATGGTTTCAACATTTTAACAATATCTATGTCCCATCATATTGGTCATAAAAGTTTAATGTTGTTTTGCCCTCCCTCCCCCTCGAATAAAATCTTGCTTCTATCAAGGACATTATACATTATGTGTATAATGTCCTTGCTTCTATCAAAAGATGAGCAACTACCAAAACGCCCCCTGGAATACTACTGTAACAGAACAACGTACTTTGCAAAATCAGCTGATAAAAAAACTTCTGCACTAGATTTTTGGCCCCCTAGACAATTAGCCTGGTTACCAAACCTATTATAGCTCCCGAGTCCTACATCCTCTCTGTATCCACTATTTGCGGAGAGGATGTAGGACTTGGGAGCTATAATAGGTTTGGTAACCAGGCTACTAGACAATGCCATTGGCAACCACATTTCGTTAATTCAATGAAAATTTAGTGAATATCAAATACATGTACTTCTGATTATAAGAAATCTCATTCAATCCTTAGATTGCCAAACGTAGTACTAAGTCAAGTTAAAAGATACAACAGTTCTTCACATAGGTATAGCTAAAAAGACCAATGGAATGCATTCAATTCGTATAGTATTACCCATTTTCTAGCTAGATACAACCATATTCAGCAATCCAAGCATTGCCATATGCATAATATACAGATATCATAATTACCATTATATAGCAATAAACATAACCATCGTTGTTATTATATTGTTCCTAAAACATATTTGCTTGTAAGTCAGATAAAAGCACAAAACTGTTTGGAAACCACAGCATATCCAGATATTTTACAACTTGAGTTTAAATGTCATCAGTAGTAATTAGCATTAATGCCATTAGTAGTATATATATATTACCAAAACTACAGGAAAAGCAATATATGTTATTTATATATTGATAAGTATTACTGAACCTACAATGTATAGATACATGTAGATCATCATACCCTATGCTTATGTTAAAAACATCAGAGCTCATTCATGAAATGAAATGAAATATAATACTCTGTATACCATTTAAGTAAGACTTACTTAATAAAATATGTGTAATGCAGGATTTTGTACATCCAATAAGCAACAGAATACATCAATTTACCAAAAGACCATATTACCTACATGTACATGTACATGTAGTTTGCAAATCTGAACAAGGGCCATTATATATCAAACACATAGTTTTTACTTAAACGTACAAGAAGCATCCAGAACAGCTAATTTCAATTTTCAAAAAGTCTAAAGCATAATTTTATATTCTTTTTTGGCATGCAATATTCCATATAAGATATTACAAGATTCTAGATAGCTATACATGTACAAATATTTATATTTTCAATCATGTAGCTGAAGTTCAATTTTCAGTTGGGTTTATAGAAGAACCCTGCATCAAGATGCCTCATATAGCACCAAACATACATGTACACATGTACACACATGTAGAAGTTCCTATACCAGGGTAATAGTTTTTGCATATCAGTGATATGTATACCAAGGTCACACCAATTTATTCATTGGGTTCTTGAATTTGCCTGGTCTTTTTTTTCTGATTTGCAACAAAAAAAAAAAAAAACTCAAATCAGCTCCAAAATGCTCATATTTTGAAGCTGATTATATATAAAGGCCCCTTCTCTTCATAGTTGTTACAAAGGACAAAAGAAATCAATCATTTTCCTCATATCAAATATGATCTTTAAAATGTTGTCAGACAAGATGTTACATGTACCTTAAGTACATGCAAATGCAAAAAACAAGCACTAAGCTAATGATAAAAAAATTATTACATAATATAAAAATTAGCTATTCAAAACTATATCACGGTAACAATATTATCCTAAGCAATCCTGCTATTTTATAGTACTAGACTATATATCCAAGTAGTGTACATATCATTCATTAATATGACCTTAATACAAGAAATGCACAACAAATTGATTGTCAAAGTTTTGGTGCTCACACTGTAAACCGGATGTTGACTTGTAGCTAAAAGACAATATTATTGCTATTAACACTTTCTTCCGGTGCATGCCTGTAGCCAAGGTCCAAGATTTCTCTTTAGATGGACTGATTCGTATCACCAGTGGGACTGGAATTGTATAAAAACTGCCTACTTTGTCATTGCATAAAAAGTTATCTCTGATTTTTGCTTTGAAATGAAAACCTCTCTAAAATGCAGGAAATGCCATTTCAGAAGGTTCATTTCCAAAATTTTCCAGGGGAGCATGCCCCCCGTCTAGGAAACTCATGCCTACGGCGCTCGCTGGTCCCTCACGCACTGGGAAGAACCCCTCCATTCAAAATCCTGGCTACGGGCATGCAGTGCATGAGTGTGTACATGTATCTCACATAGCTTGTCCAACAAACCTGTGGAAGACACATTATGACACTTTTAGTTTAATATCTCGGCTTTCTAGCCAACGTCCATCTTTCCATCATTTGATGGAATTTTGCAGCTCATGATGGATAAAAATTTTGCCTAAACTTTCATCTTTGTCAGCCAAAAATTGGTGTGTATAGATATGGAAAAAATGTCATTAAACTAAGCTTTGTCCACCAGCAAAATTTGTCTCTCAAAAAGCAAGAAATATAATTATAGCATTTCAGATGGGCAAGATTCAAAATTTTTTGGGGGGAGCATGAAGGATTGTCATGCCTCACGCTCAACAATAGTCGTCAAATAAAATTGAGGTGACAGAAAAATAATTAACACTGACCAGAGCAGAGCACTGCTATGACCTAATCTAGACACATACTGGGCTCTAGCCAGCACCAATTTTCCCATCAATTGTAGGAACTTTGTGGCATGTCAGGGAAAAATTTCTGAACCAATCAACCTTGATGGACAAAATTGAGAAAAATCTTGGGTAAAAATATTTAAAAAAACATCCTAAGGACTACCACCAACCTCTCCCAACCCCATGATTTTCATCTCAAAATGTGGGAAATTGTGTTTTTAAAGGCTTGAAGATCCTAAATTTGTCCCTGGATCTCCTCTAGATAGTGCTGTAGCCAGCAAAAATTTTCCCATCAATTTTAGGAACTTTGTGGAATGTGAGGGAAAAATTTTTCAAACCAATCAGCCTTGACAAAATTGAGAAAAAATTTTGGCTAAAAATATTTAAAAAAAAAACATCCCAAGCACCAACCCCTCCCAACCCCATGATTTTCATCTCAAAATGTGGGAACTTGCATTTTTAAAGGCTTGAAGATCCTAAATATGTCCCTGGCTCTCCTCTACATAGCAAGCAATCTCCCACAAGGTCTGATCATGAACCTGGGCTAACAGAAGAATTTTTTGAGCTGGCTAGATTGCTGGATTGCCTAATTCATCGGCTTCCTTGGTGGCCGCGGCGGTGGCTGTGGGTTGGAACCACGTTGTGGGGGCCTGGGAGGTTTCGGGGACGACGGTTGTTTGGGAGAGTCTCTCGGAGAGCGTCTGTCACTGCTCGTTTCATCGTCAACTGAAGATGATGAGAGCTTCCCGAATTTTTTCGCCAACTCCGAGGTGACTTCGCTGAATGGAGATGATGTTGGTAACGATGGTCGGGGAATGCTGGCAGGTTTGAGCCTAGATAGAAGGCCAAACCATTAATAGTGATCACTAGACATTTGTCATTGTAGATGTAGTAATCATAAGACCACATTCACACAGCTTTATCACCTGTCCATGATCAGTACTTAACTTGTGAGAGCATGAATGCAAACATAAAACAATCTGGAATCACATAGTATTGATTTTTACGCTCCCGAAAAATCTGCTTAGTATACTAAGCAGATCTTTTTTTAGGAGCCATATATAGTACAGGTCAAAACAAAACATTATGAAAAGATATATACAAAGTAAAACTAGCTATCATTACATAAATTCAACTTCTCCTCGCTTTTCAGTTATAGTAGAGATAAAGGGAAAGATATGTTTTTCGATGGAAGGTTTGTCAAGTTGCATTAGGAATATGAACTTTTCTAAGAAGTAAAGATCTGAAATAGGTTTTGTATATATATACAAGCCTTTATATCATACCCGGGCCGCGATAACGTTCGATAACGGGTTCCAGACCGGGCCGTACTTTACGGTACGGCCCAGTACGGAACCCGTTATCGAAAGCTTCCATGGCTTCCATGAAACGATTTGAACGCCTTTCGCCCTAACCGCGTGTGCCCCTTTCGAAAATTCGAATACAGAATCCGGACGTTGGAACTGATGTTGTTGCATTTGAGGGTTTAGGGGCACCAACTTTTGGCTCATAATGCATTGAAAGACGTGTTTTCTTGGGTGGGTATGATATAAATAAAATACAACACGGTGTATTCCGCATCGTCCTCGGTCCCGGCCCTCCCGCCTGCGGCCGTCGGGCGATCCAACCCGCGGTCGGGCCGATACCTCGGGCGATACGGAATACCCCGTGTTGTATTCTATATGTACTTAGCCCAGTGTGGCAAAAATGTGCAATAAAGGTTGTCATTCATTCAGTCAATGTATACTATAAAGCTACAAGACCAGCTGTTGAAGAAACATTACCTTGGACTCATGTCTGGCTCAGTGCTTCTTGATTTCAGGCAAGGTTTGGTAGGAGAGGGTGGAGGTTCTCTGGGCAGAGGCCGCTTGCTGACTGGGGGTAGGGGGACCGGCCTGGCAATGAAGTCATCATCAAACTTATCCGACAGGGGACGACTTCTCCTCTGGGAGACGGAAGAATGAGAGAAGTTATGTCATGTTAGAGTATACAAAAGCTTGAGCTGGTGTGTTACACTGAAGGGCGGTTAAGCAACGGTTACAACCCGCCGTACGTGCTTCTGCGTGCTGTCTACATGCAAAAACATGGGCAAACGTAGGGCATCCGTGCGTGGTGAGTACCACCTCCGTACGGAATCCTATGGATTTGGGAGCACGCAGACACGCAGTAGAACTTTAAGCGCATGTAAAACTTTTCATGCGTGCGGTCTGAGGATTCACCACCCGTACGTGCGCAGTGACGCGAGTGCCCTGTACAGCCTATGAGTGTACAACGCACGTTTTCAGAAAAAACATAGCAGACGTGTCCTCCCAAAAAACGTACGGACAAAATGCACGCACAGCGGGTTGTGACCGACGCTTTATACCTGTACTGGCTATACCTTACAGATGCAGACAACTTCTGTCTGTAATGTGCCATCGTTATTTATGTCATCATGAGGCCAGAGAAAATTATTTTGTTGCTTCCAAGACTGGCCTGTGTTTTTAAAAAGCTGCGGGATGTCAAATGTCGGGTGGGCCAGCCGCTACAACATATATCAGTACAATTTAGTCAGGATATATAATTATATAGTTAGCAAACCTTTCAAAATATTAGCAATAATACGGAGGGCAGGGAGGAAAATTTGAATCTGACTATATTCCCTCCTAATACTGTATATAACAGTGATGGCATGTACAATGTATGTTTCCTTCAGATAATTTTTCTAAACTTAATATTCAAGATCAGCATTATCTTAATTTACTCCAAGACCCTAAAAACCTAATTTTGTGGTATGGCCTAACAAGTCATTAAAGCCATCAAGGGTTCTTTCCAAATTCTAAATACAAACCTTGGACCAAGGGATTGTAATATCAGTTTGAAAAAGTTTACTTCTGTGTCATAACATGATGTAGATATATTTGCCTCAAGAAATATCACAATTTATTTGTATGATTTAATGGTTCATCTAAAAGCTTATTTTGCAATCAAATGCATTGGACTGAGGAGTGGACTCACAGGAATGTGCATAGGAACGGGTGGGGGTTCCTCTTCTGGGATATCTTCTGGCTGCTACGAAAAACAGGAAATACAGAGATCTCAGTGTTTGACAGAAAATAAAACAGTCTGATATATACATGTATAGAACACATTTATGATAGTCAAGTCAAGTCAATCTTTATTGCACAGCAATTGTAACGGGTACAATGCATGGCAAACTCTTCAGTACCACATATCTAGCTAACATCTACTCTTACGTCTATAGTGATACCTACAAGTTCTATGTATCAAAAATAACATTATACTATTTCAAAAAGGTAATATAGAACATGTATGTATTTGGAGCATGGCTTACATGATAATGTACATGTCTTAAGTTCTATTATATGACTGTATAAACTAGAGTGTACATCAGTTGGTTGAATCGGATATAATATGATTTCGTTTATCTAAAGCTTTGGATATACTGGCCTATATACAGGGTGATATGCATGAGTAAAGTTTCTGTATTGGTAATGTGCTTGACTCACCGGCACATCCATGCCACTGTCCAGACTAGCAGTGCTCATCACACTATGCCTCGAGCCACCAGAGGAGGAGCCTGTAGTAACAATGGGAGGTTTACCACAAGTCATGTCTGTCATGGTTTAAAATACAAAATTGTGCATCACTTGACGAATGTACATTTAACAGTTACTGTAGACAGCTTGCAATTGGCTACAATTTAGTATAAAGACTTGTTCTACTTTAGATTTGATGAGTAATGATGGAAACTGTTTGGTATTGTTCCTGGAGTGGTGGTGATCAGATGTAGATCACCATGTGGCTAATACGAGACAGGGGTTTGTCAGGCCTCCAACCAGATGATTTGAAGTGAATCACCAACTTCCAGTTAGTAGTATTTGCCAATGGACTATCTGCTCTAAAAACTCTTGTCCTGCGGAGCACATTCACAATAAATAAATTTTTATTGTTGTTCTGCACATACAGTACCATCTATATAACACCCTGTATAGGTACAATTTGGGGGTATTTCTCGTGCAACGCATCACACCGCAGCGAAACGCAACGATTGCGGAGAAGTAACTATGCCACTGCAGGGCAAAAAAAATTGTGGGTCTATGATCTAATCAAGACATGAAATTATTGAAAAATGTTGTGCCAGGAATGCCAGCAGGACAAGGGTTAAAATTGTAGCCTTAGTGTACTTTTGTACCAGTCTTAGCAATCTTCTGAGCAGGAGCCAACTGAATCTAAATCTCATACTCAAGTCAAGTACTATGAATTTGAGTTGTTTAAAACCCACCAATTGTGTATGGGAGTGACATGTTGATTTTTGTTGTACAAGGGATACCGTGCACAGGGTTCGAAATTCATTTTTGGGAATAGGTGCACTGGTGCACCCAACCTAAAAAATTGGGTGCACAAAAAATTTTTTTGGTGCACGATATAAAATAGAATAACTAGAATGTCTGACATTCTAGTTATTCTATTTTATATGGTGCACCAAAAAAATTTTTTCAGCAATAACTAATTATGTTTCATCTCTAAAGAAAAGTGCTACAACATTGATTTTATTATTTTTCTGACACATGGATGTTAAGAATATGCTGTATACTACTAACTGTTATACACTTAACATCTTTTCATAACGTTACCTACATAAAACCTATCAAAATATTTGGGTGCACCCACAGAAAAAAATGGGTGCACAGCTCCAAATTTGGGTGCACTAAGGTGCACATGCACCCAGTATTTCCAGCCCTGGTGCATGTTATTATATTTCCTGGGTCAATAATGCTTCTATATACATCATGAAAAGATAAACTGTTACAACAAAAGGAATAGTTGCTACATACTGCTGTTGCTCAGTGTGCTCTCCCTATTCCCTCCACCTGGTTGTCTATATGAAGGAAGTCTACCTGGAGTCTGGGGAAACATAAAAACAATCAAAATCACTCTCCCGTATATGATTATAACAAAAAAGCAAGCAAGCAAGCAAAAATGAATCAGCAATGGCCAGATATCTTGTATTATACTTTTGGCACAGTGTAACTTTCATTCACATTTATCGAGTGAGAATACTTGTATTCCAGTTACTAATAGATGGAAACTTGCCGTTTGATAGAATTGTATTGAATAATGTTACCAGTGACTGGCATAGCTGTGCTGACCCATGTTTTAACATGATCTCATTTGAAATGGAGTCTATGCCGCATGCCTTTCTTTAGTTGTAGAAGACCATACAAAAGCCACTGTACTTTTTGTTGTGTCAATAAAGAATCTATTTATCCATGTGCTACACATAACGCTATCCGCCACTTTGAAATACAACGGGTTTGAGAGATGTCTAGGGCAGCACCCCCACATTCACAGTTTTTACTACGAGTATACATGAGTGCACTCACTCACGGTTTTCTGGCTGACATTGCATTGGAGATCTTTTAGATGCATTTTTTCAGGGTGGTGGATATATGTGACCTGGCAGAATTATGTTAGACTAAGTACAATGTACTCATGATCAGAAGAATGTAAGAGCTTTATAACTGGCCAGTAGACCAGTAAGCATCAAGGTTTACCCTAAGGGATGCCTTGATCAGTTTATAATAATAATTATCATTGTCTCTGGTCAACAGTAGCAGTGTACAAAATACTTTTTTGACAAAAAAGGCAAAAATTAGGTTGGAAAAGGCAAGAATTTTAGGTTGCCTCGGCCACTACTTTCCTCAAATCAAGTAATTTTTCATTGACAATATTTCTGACAACCTTTAATAAGTTAACTGATACGAGTAATATCCATTAATACCTTAAATTAAAAAGCATCTGCCGGCAACAGTGGTACAAATTCTTAAAATTCAGGTAGTATACTGGGCTACCTAGGTTCAAAAATATGTTGCTCCAAGAAAAATTCTGTTGCCCGGGGCAACTAGGTAACCAGGTATTTTGCACACTGGACTAGGAACTTGTATGAGGACACTTTTCAATGTCAATGTTAGAAAACCAAAAAATACGACGTTAACTTTTTTGTTTTTATCCCATGGAGCTAGAAAAGGTCTATCAGCTTGAAAAAGTGAATTTATGTCCCTTGCAGGGGTCTGTCCCAAAAAATCTAGGGTCAGCTGGTTTTTCTAGGGTCGGTTGGGAAAAAGGAAACACAACATTTTTTTTTCCTAGGCCTTGTTTCATACCTTCCTTGGCTGCCTGCTCACTGCCTCTGGTTCCTGTTGTTGCCCTCCCTCATTGCTGTTGGTTCTTCTGATCCTGGTCAGGACTCTGCCATATATCCCCTCGTCTTTCCCATGTTTCGGGATGGGTGGGCCAACCTCTGGCTGCCCTTTCTTTGCCCTTCGCTGCACGCTCGCACGCAGGTTGTCCATCTCTTTCTTCTGCTGGTCGAACGACATAGCTCTGTCTCTCTCTTTCATCTGCCATGCTTTAAACATGGTGGCCGCCTCCTCCACGGTGAAAACACCGGCCTTTACTTCCTTCTGCAGCTTGATAAGCTCCTGCTGTCCTGGAGTGTACATGGCCAAGTCATCTTGTCCAGCTATGAGAGGGAGTAAACCAAAAAAGTTATTGTCCCAGCTGCATAAAAATTTAGTCGCAAGTTTTTGGTACATTTTTTCTTGACAATTAATTTTACAGTTTCATTATATGAAACAGAAGGAAATGTAATATCCTAAGATGTAGCCTGTAAAAATATGAACAATGTAAAAAATCGTTTTGGCTCAAACACTGACAGCACAGTCTTTGTCCTTGGTGCTGAAAAATATTCACACAGACAGCACAGTCCCTGTCCCTGGTGCTGAATAATATTCACAATGACAGCACAATCTCTATACTTGGTGCTGAATGACATTCACACTGACAGCTCAGTATTTGTCCCTGGTGCTGAATGACATTCACACTGACAGCATAGATGTCTGTCCCTGGTGCTGAATGACATTCACACTGACAGCACAGTCTTTGTCCCTGGAGCTGAATGAGATTCACACTGACAGCACAGTCTCTGTCCTTGGTGCTGAATGACATTCAGGCTCACAGCACAGTCTCAGCCCCTGAGTGCTGGATGACATTCACCCTGACAGCACAGTCTTTGTCCCTGGTGCTGAATGACATTCACACTTACAGCACTGTCTCTGTCCCTGGTGCTGAATGTCATTCACACTGACAGCACAGTGTCTGTCCCTGGTGCTGAATGCCATTCACACTTACAGCACTGTCTCTGTCCCTGGTGCTGAATGTCATTCACACTGACAGCACAGTGTCTGTCTTTGGTGCTGAATGACATTCAGGCTTACAGCACAGTCTCAGCCCCTGAGTGCTGAATGACATTCACCCTGACAGCACAGGAGCTGTCCCAGATGCTGATATTACACTGACAGTACAGTCTCTGTCCCTGGTGCTGAATGACATTCACACTGACATCACAATCTCTACAAACCTTAACTAAGGCAACCTTAAAAATATAGATTGGGAACCTAGAAGCTTTCGTAGCTAAGTTTTTAGCTTAGGCTGCCCAGTGGGCAACCAGAGAAAACAAGTATTTCAAACCCTCAAAAGCTCAAAATACTGACCATAAATGACATAAATAGACTGCAATCCAGTCTTTTAACACTCACACTCACTCATACAAGATAATGAATAAATGTCCTTGCCTTCCTGAAATCTTCCACGACACCTACACCTTCTTATTAAACTCAGATATCCACAGTCAACCACTTCACATGCCAATGCAATTATTTAAGGCCATCCAATGCGAAATCGAATCTACGTCAATCTACAATCACGTACAGGGGCCCAACAATATGGAACAACCTAAGTAGAACTTTACAAATTAGTCCCTCCTTCAATCATTAAAAGTAGCTTTCATAAATAACCCCACACATTCCTAATTTTTGTTTATGTTTCCTTGTTTACTACTTTCATTACTACTTTAAATTCATTATTGTAGATAGTATTGTATCGTATTGCATTTTATTGTTTTGTTTCATTTACCCGTTACCTAAGTTATTTCTTATTTATCCGATTTATTTGAATTGTTAATCACGTTATGAAGGGAGGCCTCCTCATAAGCATTTTATGCTTCCGGCCTCCCTGCACTGTTATATTTCATTTATTTTTTCTTGTATTTGTATTGTTACATTTTGTTTTAAAGTGTTAAATAAACTGAAACTGAAAAAAACTGAAACAATGCATACATGAGGGTGATGCTCCTGTGTCAGGAAGTTGGAGACTGGCCCCAATGGGCAGAGTTTGTGATCTGCGTTTTTCTTCTGGAGGCATTTCTACCGGTGGGGGTCTGTAGGAATGTCTCATCGGCTTTCTTGTGATACCTGAGAAAATAAAAGATAAATTCACATGCTAATCTTTCACAATTAATTCTAAGCAAGATTTTATCTACTTAAGGATTCTGGTGAGAATGAAATCTCATCGGTGTTGGCAGAATTCATAGTTTTAGAAAATGTAGGCTTTGTTCCAACACAATAGTTGTAAAAAATGTATGCTTTGTTCCAACACAACAGATTCTGAAATACCATGAATTTTCAGCCGAACACTACGACCTTCATCACATATCTGATCCACTGCATCACATTTGATGAAGGCCAAATAGCTCAGCTGAAAATTCATGTTTCTGCATGTTGTGTTGGAACAAAGCTATAGTTTTTCTGGATTCTCATTTAATATCTTTCTCAAACTTAGCCATGGCAAACTTAGCCATATATATACATGTATCATACTAATTATTATATATATTATATATGTGTGATAACATAGGAGCTCCCAAGTCTAAGTTTCTTAAACTGTTACAGCAGAAGGGATTTTTCTTTCTATGGGTGTGCCTTATACACATGTTTTTCTTTAGGCCTAGGAGAAAAAATCTTGTGTTTCCTATTTCAGTCCTGAAATAATTAGGTACATGTAGGTAGGAAATTATTATCTCTTTTTTTAGTATCAATATTTATATTAGAATCCAACTTATATAATACAGTTTAACAATTGGAGGTAAACTTGCATGAATACACTTTTATTTTCAATGTCAAGGTTAGAAAACCAATTGTGCAATGTTTTATCACTGAGGTGTTAGAGCATGGAGCTAGAAAAGGTTGATCAGCTCCCATTGCAGGGGTCCACCCCAAAAAAGTCTATGGTTGGCAGGTTTTTCTAGGGTCGATCGGGAAACAGGAAACAAAACATTTTTGTTAGGCTTTAACATGGCTGCCAGCTAGTGGTACAGTCCAAGGCTAATCTTCACTTCAGGTCTGTGTGGGCTTGGCCTCACGTAGTCTCAAAATTAGTCTGGCAGTTCTATAAATAAAAACAGCCTGATCGTGTCCTTAATCATCACAACAGCAGCTTGTGCCCCCACCAGGCCAGTGTTTCTACAGACTGAAGTTGTTTTTCCATGCAGTAAAGCCAAAAGGTGAGTTTTAATGGTCTTTTTCTGTGAGATCAGCAATTCAATAACTATATAAGACATCTCATTTTCTTATACATGTATAGGTGCAGCATCACACACTAAGTCTTGATATGATTTTCATATGTCGCAAAATGTCGGACATTTCATATTCCACTGCACACAGAAAAGAAATCAAACCCAACAATAACTACTTAATGTATATCTAAAGTAGCATGAGCATTACTTATTATCATTTTCACTGTTTATTCTTGTTATCATGTTCTTGCAATTAGCCCTCGGACATGAATTTGCAATAAACTTTCTTTATCGCAGGCTTTTTATGGGTGGCACCCAAAAAATAAAGAGATGCCTCCTGTAGTTTATTTTAAAAAAATTCAGGCACAAACAAATGTTAGAAATGATGACAAAAATGTGATACAAAATGGCAGTAAATGTCTTTTTTTTAACGGAATGGTTCAATGCAAGCCCTTATGACCACTTCTCGGCATTGAACTAGAAAGATGAGAGAAAAATGGCTATGTCAAGAGATGGCGGTGAACGTTTGATTTGAAAGCCTGTAGATTGTAGGTTGGTGGGAAACACTTGTCGGGGAGGGAATTCCAAAGCTTGGCCGTACGGGGAAAGAAACTGTCACTGTAAAATGATTTCAAACAAGGAATTTGGACGGTGAAGTTATGTGAGCTAGTGGAGAACCTAGTGGAACGCTTAAAAGTTCTGAGTGGTGGAACTAGTTGGGTGATGTTCAGACAAATCCCTCATGCAGAATATTTTTTGTTTTGCCTCCCTGAAATTGCATTGGATGCCTTTAATTAATTTAATTAAAGACTGTAAAGGCTATTTACTTGGTCCTCGCATGTCGCTGAAAGGTCTACGTGGTGGGTCCACCGGGGCTGGTTCATGCTTGTCTGGATCATCATAGATTTCAGGATCAGGCTCTGAAAAAAAAACAGACAGTCACATAATATATTAGATGACGTGCATGTACATGACAAAAATCATTTGTGTACAGAATATAAACCACACCATTGTTGTAGTTTTTTTTACTTTCCTATGAAAATAGAATTTGATACTTGTCAGTCATTCAATACAAGGAAATAAGGTAACCATACAGATTTAGTTATCTAAAGAGGGTGGATGGAAAGTACATACAAAAGTATTGAAAGTATAATGTTACCAACTACAGTCATTGTATATGTGACATTTTGAAACAAATTCACTTCCCCGTTACCAACAATTTGTCTTGAACTTTCCTTCATTTTTCCAGGATGGCAGATATATGGCAAATTATTTATTATTACACTGTAACACAAACTATCATAATTTTGGGAAATGACAAATTTAAACTGTAACAGTTGTTTTCTTCAGAGATCACAGGTTTTGAATATTCAATACACACCATAGACTACATGTATTAGTAATGCATGTACAAGGCGTGAGCAGTTGAAACTCTCTATTTCACACAGGTTTGCCTACTCTGTTCCATACACCACACAGAAGGCAGTCATCTACAGAATGATACTGTGTGATGCAAGTCCTCCTATAGTAAGCTAGACTGAAATCATCAGCACTGTAGATCAAGAAAAATTTTGTAACGAGTTTGCTCAGTGCAAAGCCAGACGGGCCACTCCTAGGCACAGAACTAACACTCACTGCAGCAGCATCTCTTCTCCCTTTTAAGTCATAAAGATTAAACTTATGCAAGTTGACTGACTGACGAAGTAGGGATTGCAAAGGCTGCTCAGGAAAATCCCTACCACATTTTAAGCCGGAATTGCTTGATCCACTCAGACCAGGAAAGGACCCCAGGCCTATATTCTTATTTGACAAGTGTGCCAGGTTCTTTTTACGTGATCGAGGTGTGGCTGTCCTCAAACACAGAACCACCATTTAACATCCTATCCAAGGGACGTCCTTTTCCAAAGCTAAGTAGTACTCTTTTCCACTAGCCTGTGTTATACAAGCTCTCCGCCGGAGGTTAATGACCCCTGCCCCAGGGGGGAGCGGCAATCTTCGGGCGGCAGCCGCCAGGGGCACGGTTTAGTTTGGCTTTTTTTGTCCACCTGAGTGATTTAGTGAGGAAAATCGTAGTTTCCAGCCACTATTCCAGTAGTGGGCATCAGAAAAAACTCTGCATTCGACCAAGTTGCAACCTCAAAAGACTTACACCCAAGAGACATGAGACTTGTCAGTATTCTTCTTGCACTTTTTATTATCATAGCCTGTACAACTGCAAGGAGCTGGGGTCTTGCATTACCGGAAAATTGTTTCTATGGACAAAATCCAGCGTTAAAAGTGAATTGTATACTCCGCCAGTTGACTGCCTTTCCTGATAACATACCACCTGATATTGTACGTCTGGATCTGTCCATCAACAAGATTCCCAATGTCACGTATTTTCCACCTCTGAGAAAATTGACGGCGCTGAATCTTGGTACGAATCTTATCGAAGTCGTTTCATGGGAGTCCCTCTGTAATTTGCCAAATGTAGTCATCATTGATCTAAAGCAGAACAGGATAACAGAGGTGGAACTAGGAATCTGTATCAAAAATCTGACAAAACTCGTACATCTAGATTTGTCACACAACAAGATTGCGTCTGTAACTGAAAGTGACCTGGGGGTTCTCCACACCGCAAGAGTTTTCCTCTACTTTAACCCCCTCCACTGTGACTGCAGCTTATTGTGGCTGATCAGGAAGGTGAAATGTGTGCACGCCCATGGTCAATATGAATCTAGATGTAAAGCCCACTTTCTCAACTCACATTACAATCTAAATGATATTTACTGTGGTTCGCCTGATCGCCTGCCACTCTCAAGCATATCTATCCCAGGGTTAAGTTGTGCGCTATCGAACCTTACTTCAATAACATTGAAGACATCAAAACAGAAGCTGGTTAGTGGAGCCAAGGGTGGTGGTACAAAAATGCATGGCATCAACCAAACCATTCAAGTATCCCACCTTGGTATAACTCTGGATGGCAACAATGGCACAGCTGGTACCCCCCAACAAAGTGGCCATCTGAACTTCACCATAACTCAAAATGGTGATGGCATCGCATCTCCTAAAGATGAAGACATCACTTCACTCAGAAAGTCTAGCACAGGTGTTGTCTCAAAAATGGCTCACCCTCAAGCTGATGACATCTCAGAGATGGAAGGCATGAATATATCAGTCAAGAATCTCACAATGAAGGATGATGTAATGTCTCACAACCAGTCTTACATCCTAGTCCCTGCATGCTCTATGGTGAAGTGTGGCCCCTTCACGCATGCTTCTCCCATGGTTGGAGTCCTCCACATAGTCATTATGGTGGTGGCAAGCCTCCTAAGCATAGCCTTCCCAACCTGTGCCATTATCAAGCTCATCAAACAAAGACGGTTGCAGGCACTCAAGAACAGGGCCGCAGTAACCGCTCTTACTCAGAATATCCTGCAGTTTCATAACCCTGTTTATTCCAGCAGTGACAGCATTGGAAGGCCACCTTCAACAGTGCAAGAGGCAGACCACAACCATGTTTATGAAGTGATCCCCCCAGATGTCAGTGGTCAGGATGAGCCTATAGCAGCAGCTCCTGTGAAACTGACCAAGCTGATACCACCAATTCAAAATGTGGCTTACCAGTCTGTTAAGCACTGACAAATAGGACTGTTCAGCAACAATCAGTCCCATGCAGTGACACATTCAACAACTCTTTACATATTAAGATCTGTCACATCATCTGTCACATTAAGATGATCTCAAATGTGGAACTCTATAACATAACTCTATGTAAATCACATGTGTTTACATCCTGCTAACAAGAAAAAACCACAAACACAAAAGGTCCACTGCAATGACGCAGGGACCCCCTATGAAGCCCATTTTTAAACTTGACCTTGGTCTCCCCAACGGTATCCTGCCTGCCAAAAATCATAAACATTGATCCACGCCGCATAGTCTCCCATACTATAGCAAAACGATTTCATCGCCTTCTGACAAAGGCAAATAGGACTGTTCAGCAACAATCAGTCCTATGCAGTGACACATTCAACAACTGTTTACATAAGATCTGTCACAACTTCTGGCCCATTAAGATCTCATATGAGGAACTCTATAACAAAACCAGTTGTAGACAACTATCCATAGAAATCACTTATATAACAGAAGACCGAAATGGTGGCCTCCCTTTTCCATTGACTGATGGAGGCCATATATAACAGAAGACCGAAATGGCTATGGCCTTGTATTAAGACTGGATGCCACAAGAATACCTAATACAGCCTTATATTGGAGACCTATTGGGAAAAGAAAAGGCGGCAGACCCAAAACCACTTTTTAGAACTGTTTTTGGAACAACTTAAGGAAGAAAATGACTTTCTTCAACTGTTGGGCCCAAAATATGTCTCTCAATGAGCATTTTGGAGTTGATTCAGAACCTAAATCATTTTTTTTTGGAAATCAGAAAAAATGGAGCATGTGAATCTGAGAAACAACAAATTAAATTGGTGTGGCCTAACTGTAATATTCTTACATAACTGTAGTAGCAAAATAAGAATCAGCGAGTATCTGTGTGTAGAGACAAACACAAATTTATAGAGCCACAGAAAGTTTCAGAAAGACAGGTCCCATGCATGTTTCATGTAATATGTGTTTGAATCTCCTTGCATCTGAATATTAATTCTAAGATTTGATTAGACTTGAACATTGACGCACAACTGCAATCTTTTACAATCACTGTCTCTCTCATCGTGTGCAGACAATATTACAACTGATATTGGCATACACCAGGTAGGTGCTGGTTTATGCATGGATGAGCATGCCCCTAACACCTCACACATTTGGGGTGGCTCAACATGATATTTTGTGAAACAAACTTGGCATGATGGAACATTGCTTGAACACTGCTTTACCCTACTAAGGTGCCCATTTGGCACTATATTTCAACTGGTCAAGCATGGACAGTGTACAAAATACTTTTTTGAACCAGGTTGCCCAGTGTGCAACCTACGGCAAAAATTAGGTTGCCCATCAGAATTTTAGGTTGCCCCATCTTTAAGTTACTACTTTCCTCAAATTAAGTAATGTTACATAATTACATAAGCCTTTGACAATACCTCTAACAGCCTTTAGTAACTTAATTGATACTAGTAATAGCCATTAACACCTTAAATTAAAAAGCATTGGCCGGATACAGTGGTGCAAGCCAAGTAGGCATGATTTCGTGGGGGGTGGGGGGCATTCTTAAAATCCAAGTAGCACACTGGGCTACCTTGGTTCAAAAATAGGTTGCCCCAAGTAAAATTTGGTTGCCCGGGGCCCAGGTATCTCCCATGACACAAGAGCACACCTATACATGTGCATCATGCCAGCAAGAACACATACAGGCAAATAAAACCAAAACCAAATGCTCTGAAAAAGACATTTCTGAGTGTACAGATCAATTTCTGAAAAAGTTTAATGCTCATGTTGACTTTCAGAAGTTTCTGGATAAATTACGCAACTGTCTGCTTGTAAGCCATGATGAAATTTGTCTCAAAAGCTTTTGAATAATATCATACAATTTGCAATGACACATGCAGTTGCACTCAGCATTCCGTCATTGCTGAGATGCCACAGACAGGAGCGACGTCAATAGCAGACTCTGAAGAATTTTGACTGACTGAGGCCACCTTGACTGCAAAGCTAGGTCACTTTTGGTGATTCTTTCATCAGTCAAAAAATCAGAAAGGAGCTTTACATTTTGGTTCTTATGTCATGTACATGCACATGTAGCGAACTTATTCCAAGATATTCAACAGAAACTAGAATTTTGACTGACTGAGGCCACCTTGAATGCAAAGCTAGGTCACTTTTGGTGATTCTTTCAGCCAGAAAATCAGAAAGGAGCTTTACATTTCGGTTCTTATGTCATGTACATGTACATGTAGCAAACTTATTCTAAGATATTCAACAGAAATTAGAATTTTGACTGCCTGAGGCCACCTTAAACGCAAAGCTAGGTCACTTTTGATGATTCTTTCAGCCAGAAAATCAGAAAGGATCTTTGCGTTTTAGTTTTTATGTCATGTACATGTAGATGTACAATGTAGCAAACTTATTCTAAGATATTCAACAGAAACTAGAGTTTAAGTAGACTTTGGTATCAAGATTTGTGCAATATTTTTTACTGCAATTAGACAGAAAACACAGATTTTTGAAGAGATGAGAGTGCTTAGAAGCCTGCTTGTTGTTTTCATTGTAACTGTCTTCTGGGCTGTGAGCGTCAGGGCCAGAGTCTTGCCCATATATTGCATCAGACCACATGAACATAGAGGCGTGAGAGTTGATTGTCAATCCCGTGGCTTGGCCACATTCCCTGATGACATACCACTCAATACGTTACGTTTGGACCTGTCCAAGAACAAAATCCGCAGTGTTAATCATTTTCCAAATCTGGCCATTTTGGATACCCTGGACCTCAGTAAGAATGTTATTGAAGCCTTGTCCTGGAAGTCTTTCTGTAACTTGCCAGGTTTGCGGTTCCTGTTTTTACAATCAAACAAGATAACGAATGTCAAGTTTGGTGTCTGTATCAGTCAGATCAAATCCCTACAAGTGATAAATCTGTCAGACAACAGGATTGCGTCCATCGCTGAAGTTGACCTTGGACTTCCCCACGTCGGAAAAGTTTTCATCCACGCTAACCCGTTCCGCTGCGACTGCAAATTGCACTGGCTAATCAAAAAGGTGACATGCTTACAAGCTCTTAGCCAAACAAATACGTGTATTTTTAACACCGTCAAAGAATGTCATGCCCCTTTCCTGTCATGCCATCATTCACATAAACTGAACGATTTTTGCTGTGGTTCACCAGATCAGCTACAAGCACGTCCATTCTCAACAATTTCTATCTCTGGATTAGGCTGTGACAATGGGTCAACAACAGAACCTATAGATGGGCATACAAGTAGCACTATAGTACACAATGGCATCCAGATGAGCGATTCACAGCCTACTATCACTTTAGACAATGACCATGATACCATAGTGATCAAAAGCACCACTTCAGACAGCACTGATTCAGACAGCACTGATTCAGACAGCACTGATTCAGACAGCGCTGATTCAGACAGCACTGCCTCAGACAGCACTGCTTCAGACAGCACTGCTTCAGACAGCACTAATTCAGACAGCACTGGTTCAGACAGCACTAATTTAGACAGCACTGGTTCAGACAGCACTAATTCAGACAGCACTGATTCAGACAGCACTGATTCAGACAGCACTGATTCAGACAGCACTATGATAAAGAAGAGTGATGGACTGTTGACTGAAACTATTGATATTGTCATCACTGTACTAGGCTGCCTTGTAGGCTTTGCCTTCAGCACCTGTGTGATTGTAATGCTAAAAAAACGCCGACCATTGCAGTTGCAACACTTTCGCAACCAGAACAACAGGCTGGCAACAGCCGCTGTCCTGGCTCAGAACACTGTGCAGTTCCCAAATCCTCTTTACAGCAACATCACCACCAATGAAATTGACCCACCAATGCAAGAATCTGTGTCACCTCAAGTGATTCAAACATCTCAAAATCTTGGAGATCAGGCCACTCAGGATGGGCCAACTAATCACAACCTGCTGTCACAAGACTTAGTACCAAGTGACTCTCGTGATGAGAGTACATCCCATATTGATGACAATGATGCTGCAACAGATTCAGCAACTGACAAAGAAAATTTGCATACGTACAAAAATGACTCTCGTGCTGAGAGTACTTCCCATATTTATAACAATGATGCTGCAACAGATGCAGCAACTGACAATGAAAATACAGATACACTTGGTTGGGTTAAGGCAGCCTAGGTTGATATTCATGTACGAGTTTGGGCGTGTGTCTGCATGATGGCCACAGACATGTTTCGAACCCGAATCATGTTCCACCATGTTCGATATGACGTAATTCGAATAGAACGCGTGTTCGAATTCGGGGTTACCGGCGGTCATTAGTATGTTTCCCCTGTAAACCCGCATTGTTACGCATTTTATTCACGGAGTATGACTTAAACGGCTTTACGCGCAGCTAAAAACAGCATAGTAATTGATCTTTAGAGTAATCCATGTTTACGTATTATTACTTTTTTATCAAATTTGTCCGAGGCTATTTTGCATATAAGTCGATACATGTATTTTTTAACTGTGGCGATTTTTTAACGAAAAATGACAGAAAAATAGCTGTTTCTGTCATTTTTGGCCCAAAAAAACAATGTAACTGTCAGTTAAAATAAAATAGCCTTGGACAAAAATAATAGATAGGGGGTTGGCTTTCTACTTGTAAAATATCATGATGAAAGGTGTTGTTACCGCTGGCGCATAAAGCCATGAAGTAAACAGCTTTTTTAAAATCGAAATGTTGATTTTTAACCAAAAAATCCAGAAGTAGTAAAACAAAATAATCTTTATTCAATGTGTTTCAAGTACTACTAGACGTTTAGTTGTGGTGCGACCAAGCTATCAAAAGTTACAGGCATATGTATGAAATACTACTCATAGTATGCCATAGGCTGCCTTAACCCAACCGAGCATACAAAAATGACCCTCATGTTGAGAGCACTTCTCCAATTTATGCTGATGAGGATAAAACAGATACAGTAGCTGACAATACATAAAATGTTACATAGAAAAAACAGAGTTTGTGAGAAAACAATGATAAAAGGGTATACAGAGGTGCCTTCCTCTTCTGACAAAATATCATTAGCAACAGTAATTCTAACCCTATTCTATTAATTTTAACTGAGGATAATTCATTTCCATGTGTTTTACAATTTTTTCAAAGCTTGTATTATATTCTAAGTCTCTTACAAACATAATGCACTTGAAGTTATTTGGTACCAAGACATGACTTGTACCAAGTGTAAATAGTCCATCACTTAAGGACTTTGTAAATTGTAAATTGATGGGGTTAAGGAAGTACCTTTGTAGAGAAAAATGATTGTTGGCAACTAACATGTACATGATGAGGAAAACCAATGAAAAGGGTAGACTTCCTTAGTAATATTAGCAAAAATCAGTCAGTGTCATTGTAACAGAGAAAACTAAATGTCACTCTTGAACAATATAATCTGTACAGGCACCTGTCCATGGTGCTGAACACACAATCTACACAAACCTAAAGGACACTGGTGCACAACACAATCTGTACAGGCACCTGTCCATGGTGCTGAACACACCATCTACACAAACCTAAAGGACACTAGTGCACAACACAATCTGTACATGCACCTATCCATGGTGCTGAACACACCATCTACACAAAACTAAAGGACACTAGTGCACAACACAATCTGTACATGCACCTGTCCATGGTGCTGAACACACCATCTACACAAAGCTACAGGACACTAGTGCACAACACAATCTGTACATGCACCTGTCCATGGTGCTGAACACACCATCTACACAAAGCTACAGGACACTAGTGCACAAACCTAACAGATACATGTACTTGTGCATAACACATTTGTACAGGCACCTGTGATGTTAGTTTAATGATGTGTCAAATTGAAGGTTGCTCTTGACTGGACAAGTGACACATTGACAAAAGATTGACGTCTTACTTTTTAATGTTTGTATAATACTCAAGTCCAAAACATTTTCTATCAACAAGTTTGAAATGATATGCCAATTGTTTATTTCAAAGATTGATGTTACTATGTGATTACTGTATTTGCAATTTGTAGTTTTAAAATTTCTGTATTTGTATAATTGTACTCTTGTTGTAGTAGCAATTTCTTTGTGTGCACTTTGATTGACAAGTGATCAATAAAGAATAGTGTCACGTCATACCTTGTTCATGACCTTGAAGGATGTCCTTGATGTAGTTAGTGCTTAGGGTCTCCCCATAAACATCCAGGTCAGGTATAGCAACAGGGAAGGGGTGATCATAGTCAGGCTGCTCCTCCACAGTGCTGTCACCCCGGAAAAAGTTGTCTTTGGAGGCAAAGAAATTATTAAAGATGATGAGAGAGTTTTATAGCTGTAGTGAATGGACAGTATTCCCCAGTATATAGTTGGAGAGATGCTTAGCTTTAGCTACTGCAACAGCAACACAATTATTTAAAAGTTTATTTACCATTAGCTCAAGATTCTTGAATAGACATTACCAGACAGTATAATCTGCATTTGCATTGTAGTCATGACTATTATGTGAGGTGACACATACTCATTCTTCTAATTCACTACTCAAACAAGCATGATTAAAGGCAAATCCTGAACAATTGACAGAATTTTGCCACTAATGTCATGCCAGACAAACATTTTGCCCAATCTGTCATATTTACCAATAGCTGGTGCAAAAAGATATGTAAAGAGATGTCATTAACTTTAAAGGCTTTAAGTTTATACACCTATAACAGCAGAATTGCCGCTCAAAATACAGTAAATAGAATTTCAGAGGTTCAAGATTTTAAATTTTTCAAAGGAGCGCATGATGTTACTTCCAACAAAATTCAAATGACAGAAAAAAACAGACTAACTACAACGCAGATGTACATGAAGTACTTACAATATCCCCCTTCTCTGAGAGCGGCGTGTGTGTTGTAGTACCTCCCCATCGCCATGTAGACATACCCGGGATCCACCTTCGTCATCTTCATGTACAAGTCCTTGTCCATGTCCACGTACCCATCCCCCATCTCCTCCTCCAGAATGGCACCAAGTTCCTGAAAGGGAAGGAAGAACACAGCAACTTTTTTAATAGCTGGACTATAGTGCTGTGTACGGGTTCACTGGACCAGTTCCGGACTTATAAAAATGTTTTATTTAGGTTCAGGTAAAAAAAAAAATTAATTGCAAGCACCGGTTCCAGACTTATTACAAAAAAAAAGACCATGTCACAAACCCCTTTTTGTTCCAAACCACCTTAAACCATCCATAGATTGGAAAATCTGAGCTGCAAAATGAAGAAAACATTGCCTCCAGGCATTGTCAAGTGTCAGCCACCATGTTATGTGGCCACATTTTTGCCCAGACAACATTGCAAGCTTGCCAACATGCAATTTTGTATATGAGTTTAGGCCCGGACTTAAGTCCGGAACTAAACCTAAACCTCTGAACTTGAATCCGGACCTGAACCTAAATGTGGGTTTAGCACTAAGCTGGACTGTGTTCTAACAAAACATAAAAAAAAAAACATGACAAATATTTTATCATCATTCTACTGTGTATGCTATTCAAAAATACACAACAAGGAGGTATAGCAAGTGTTTAAAAGTACATCTATTAGACTTAAGGAAAACTAAATCAACAGTCAATTGTCACGAAATGAAATCTGTACTTTTTAAGTTGGAGAGATAAATGTAGAACAGGTTAACTTACTGTAAATTCACAAAAATATGATAACATGGAGTGTTTTCAAGTTCATAGTTGAAACAACTAGGAGTACTAACACAACTTCACTTCGTTATGAGTTTACAAAAAAAAGTCACTTCAAAATAAAGATAAACTTCAAAATTTACTGTACTTTTTGACAACAAAAATGTATCTGATAACAATGTTTGCTCACAATTCTGTCCTCGATGTATTTCTTGAGGTCCATGTGCCCGTATTTCTCGGCCATGTTGTGTGGAAAGTCGTTGTCACAGTTGGCGATACTGCAGGCGTTGAGTGCCCCAGGACAGTGCAGCAGGGAGGCACACATGTCCTTCAGACCATACTTTGCAACAAAGTGCATGAGGGTGGGCAACTCTTCTGGGTGATATGCTGTAAGAAATGAAAAACTAGAGGTCAAAAATCTCATACCTTTGTTATTTCATAACATACCTGACAGATATATCTTGTTGTCTGACAATTGGCAACTAAGGTCACGCCGATTTAATTTTATGAATGACATCCTTTGAAGACCCCCAAACTAGTGCGCACGGGTGAATAAAAAGAAAATTCCGGCCAAAAACAAAAATGCTACTAAACCACAGGAATACAAAGCTGGTATTAGGAATTTGTGGCAGTACATAGTGACGTATACGACAAGCCGGCACATGCTGGCTTTTTGCAGAATTTCTGAATCGGCACAGTGCGTATGTACTGAGTTCTTGAGTCATGGAGCTTCGGTAGCCTGGGCGCCGTCCTCCAGAGTTACCACCGGCTCTGCATTGTCACCAACTACCATTGACTACCCAGGCTTATAGCCAGATCAGAGCCTCGGTGGACATGATTTTTTATTTTTTTTTGAGAACAGGCAAAAATCAATGCGCGCGAGGATGTCATCCATAGAATTAAGATGGTCTGGCCTAACAAAGCAAAAAAAGTGACAGCAATCGAATCATGAAAACTATCATGTGATTTTAATCACTAATGAAGAGATGGCAACATCCTTAATGTATATAGTATGCTGTAACCACCTGTTGCATATTTATACAAATAAACAATAAGCTATTTTAAATCAAATCAGATCATGCACAGAATTTCCTAGAAATACTACCTTTGGCAGTAAATAAGGCCACACCAATTTAATTTGTTGGTTCTAGGATTTTTCAGAAAAAATATGAAGTGACAGGGCGAAAAAAAAAAAAACAGGTCTAGGCATCCTATTATAGCCCCACATGCTACAATATGAGCCATGAAGTCAACAAAAAAGGCTGGGTTAAAATTTAAAGTATAAATTTTGAACTTTTAATCAAACCACTGCATTGATAGATGGAAAAAACTGTAACAACTAGGAAGAAAAGGAATTTCCTCAACTGTTGGGGGCAAAATATGAGCATTTTTGAGTTGATTCAGAACCAGAATCTTTTTTTTTTTTTGCAAATCAGAAAAAAAATGAAGAGGCGAATCCGAGAACCAACAAATTAAATTGGTGTGGCCTAAGTGGATTTTGATAATTTATATAAATAATAAAAATGCTATGATTTTGTGAAAGAAGTACATTTTTGTTTAACAACGTTTAGTATTTCTGCAAGTACAACAAACTGCAACCAGCCACTCACAAAACATGATTTGTTTTCGTGCATTTTTCGACTGAAATTCTTTCACTTCCTTCTTACCATATTCTTCCTCACTCTCTTGGTCGATGCCAAACACCCCAAGACCGTTGGGTGGCATGTGTTTCTTGAAGGTTTTCCTCAGTATCTTGTCCAGTGTCTTCAGGTCTGAAGGCTCTGTGCCCAGGGACTGACACATAAACTCAATCGGCTTGCTGACGTCGGAGAGTAACTCTTCCAAGCGACGCATCTTACTGAGAAACACCATGGTGGCGTTTCCAAGTGACTTGCCGTCACACTTCACAGTTGCTTGTGTTGTCTCTGGAGGGTGGTCTGGGAAGAAGGGAACAGAAGCTCTGAGAAATGCCAAAGTAAAATAGAGCACACCTGGTGACAGAAACCTTGATCTAAGGCCACATCAATTTAATTTCTTGGTTAAAGGATTTGCCTAGAAAAATAATGGAGCGGGCGGGTGAATAAAAACAGGCCTAGGCATCCTATTATGGCCCAAAATGGTACAATAGGAGCCATGAAGTCAACACACCAGGCTGGTTCAAAATTTAAACAAGGAATTTTGAACTTTTAATGATACCATTGCATTGAAAGATGGAATAACTGTAACAACTATAGGAAGAAAAAGACTGTTTTCAACTGTTCAGGGCAAAATATGAGCATTTTGCAGTAACTGTTGATTCCTTTTTTTTTTGCAAATCAGAAAAAAAGAAGTAGGCGAATCCGTTAACCTAGAAATTAAATTGGTGTGGCCTAACCTTGAACTTCAGTCAGTCTCATCCTTTTTGTTAATTTAAGGTGCCTCTATAGCCTTAAGGCAAACTCAAAACCGCCAAAGTGGCAATGTGTGCCTCTCTTGTTTGAAGCTCTGAAAAGTGCCAATATGAAAGTAAAATAGAGTGGACCTGGAGAGAGAAACCTTGATCTATCCTTCAACTTTCTTTCAGTCTCATCTTTCTTGTTAATTTGAGAAGCCTGTACTCTAGCCCCATGGGCCAATTTAAAACTGCCAAAAAGGCAATTTATACATGTATGATGTTCCTCTCTTGTTTGTAGCTCGCAGAAGTGCCAAGTAAAATAGAGTGCAACTGATGAGAGGAACTTTGATCTGACCTTAAACTTTGAATTCTGTCAGTCTCATATTTTTTGCTTGAGGTGCCTGTATAGCCCCAGGGCCAATTTAAAACCACCAAAGTGGCAAAATTTCGCTCTCTTGTTGTAGCTCAGAAAATAGTATAGAGAGCACATGGAGAGAGGAACCTTGATATGACCTTAAAAATTGTGTCAGTCTCATAGTTCTGTTTTTGTTTCCAGTGCTTGTAGCCCAGGGGGCCTATTTAAAACTGCACACTTGGCAATATGTGCTCCTCTTGTTTGAAGCTTTGAGAAGTAAATTAAAGTAGAATTGAGCATTCGAACAACTCAATCATTCAAACATTCAAACAACTTTTAAAATTAAAATTCAAAACTAACCAGCCAACCAGGACTAAAAAAGAAGAAAGGGGTGAAATAATTATGTTGAAATGTAGGGTCATTTAGTGAACAATTTTAGGCCACACCAATTTAATTTGTTGTTTCTCAGATTTTATCAGAAAAAATATGAAGCGACAGGGCGAAATAAAAACAAAAACAGGCCAAGGTGCCACATGATAGCCATAAAATCTAATGCTATAATATGAGCCATGAAGTAAACATACCAGGCTGGTTCATAATAATACCATATTTTGAAATTTTAATGAAACAAAGTTGCATTGTTACATTGAAAAACTTTAAGAACTAGGAAGAAAAGGCCTTTCTTCAACCACTGGGGCCAAAATATGTCTTTCAATGAGCATTTTGGAGTTGATTCAGAACCTAAAATCTTTTTTTTTTGCAAATCAGAAAAAAAATGGACAGGCAAATCTGAGAAACAACAAGTTAAATTGCTGTGGCCTTACTAAAAAATACATAAATTAGGAGTACAATTTTTCTGATAGATATACTTTACCTGGTGCACTGAGGACCAGTGTGTATGGGTTCTCCTTGGTAGCTGTCACAACTGATGTCTGTTTGGTGCCTTGGAATTCTACTGTGTAGCTGCCACCTTCAGGAAGCGTGTTCTTAAAGATGAGCACCACTCTCTCACCAGACTGCCAAGAATGGGAAAATGACAAAAACGTTAAAAAAAGAGAAACTTTGGTCTTTGTAATAGCATCACATTTCTCTGTCACATTGTTTCTAAGCTTAGGCCACACCAATTTACAATTTGTTGGTTCTCAGATTTGCCTCTTCACTTTTTTCTGATTTGCACAAAAAAAATTCTGATTCTGAATCAACTAAAAAATGTTCATATTTTGCCCCCAACAGTTGAGGAAAGTCCTTAAATTTCTTTCTAGTTGTTACAGTTTTTCCATCTATCAATGCAGTGGTTTGATTAAAAGTTCATGATTCATTGACTTAAATTTTAATCCAGCCTTTTGTGTTGACTTCATGGCTCCTATCAAAGCATTTGGGGCTATAATAGGATGCCTAGACCTGTTTTTATCTTTATTTTTTTTTGTCCTGTCACTTCATATTTCTTCTAAAAAAATCTGTTAACCAACAAATCAAATTGGTGTGGCCTTAGACTCAGATTCAAGTACTGATAAACTACCATAGCTGACAATTCTGAAAGAATTTCTTTTTGATGTAGTGAACTTTGAATTTGTCTGAATCATGAAGGCAAGACAATTTGTTTTGCATTAGAACAGATAATTACTCACAGTGAACATTTCAGTTGCTACTTCTAGGTGGTCTTTTGCAACAATCTTAGGAAAAAAACATTTAATTCAATTCAATGATCTTTAACCCGTAAAGTAAACTTGAACCGAATTGCTATTAGTTTACTTATGGACTGCTCAATTGGTAGAGTGCTAGCTTTGTAACCGGGAGGTCGTGAGTTCAAACCCCGGCCGGGTCATACCAAAGACTTTAAAAATGGTACACACTTCTTTCTCTGCTTAGCACTCAGCACATATGAGAAAGAGTGTGGGAAGGTCAAAAACACAGCCAGTGGACCAGCCCCCTGCTGTAGTGCATTGCACAATTGTGTGTCGCCCAAGGGCTACAGATTCTGAAATGGATATGGGCACCACCCCTATGCTCTGCAATAGAGTGGAACGGGACCTTGATCCTTGAAATTGTTGAAAATGTATTGTATGTATTGTATTCATAGACAATTTTCAGGTATCCTAATTACAATAATTCTGAATAGAATTCTGCTAAATTTGAAAAGTTCTCTACCTACCCCAGATGTGACTGTGTACGGTTGCACAAGTTGAAGTTCCTTGCTCATGATGGCCCGATCTGGCCGAGATTTTTGCTGCGTAGGTTTGGGTGGTCGGTGGGGAGGGCCACTACTGTCATCTGTACCAGAGTCCTCCAGTGTAGGAAGTACCATGTAGGTGTCTGGCAGAGAAATGTAGTGTGAGCTGTCACATGTTGTCATTCAGATTCATTGCAAAAGTTTTTTTTTACTTTCACAATCACTTGTTTATGATAACAAGATCATTATGAAGCAAGTTTAAACTGCAATTTCCAACACAACAAATTGGACACACACAAATTTTTGACAGTACAACAGCCTTTGTCAAGGAATGAGCAATCCACCGCTTCCGTGACGTCACGCAGATAACACACGTGACTCCGTGAGCAGTGGATCATAGGTTGCAGAAAGTCTGTGGCGCCCCCCGTCTCTGTTCAGGGATGGTTGTAATGCCCTGATGTAGACGGAGTAACGTGTGTTATCTGCGTGACGTCACGGAAGCGGTGGATTGTTCATTCCTTGACAAGGACTGGAGTTGTACATTCAGTCGAAAATTTGGGTGAGTCCAATTAGTTGTGTTGGAAACTGCAGTTTAAACTTGCTTTACAACGATTTCTACCAACACAGATGAACTTTCAAGATAATAACAAGATCTGACAATTCAAAGGCTGTCAGTCATCTTTGGAACAACAAACCTCATTTTCCCCACCGAAAAAATATGGAATTGTTGCACCGGTATTTGTTTTGACTTTCTTTTGTATTAACAATTAACAGTGAACCATTCTTTGAGTTATGGTGTACACATCAAAAGCTGAATTCTAATAGTAATCATTAGAATATGTACTGGCAAACTGAGTAAAATTCAACATACCTTGAAATTTCCCAACTGCCTGAGGCTTTGCTTCCATGTCTTCATAAACGTCTTGTCCTGTACAGTCAGATGATACATATCATAATTATTATTATAATTAAGTAATGTATTATCTACTGCTTACTACTACTACATGTAGCTCATATAGTTGAATATCTAAAATCCCATTGTAGACAGAGGTTGAGCTGGTAAAAGGTGTATGATGAAAATTGTCACTGGTTTGCTTTTAATTAATCATATTTCCCCAAGTGCATGAAAATGGGATATTAGTAGTGTTAACTTGATGTTGATTTTCTGCAATAAAGGTACTGAAATAGAGTTTGTTGCTTAAGAATTAGTAATTGATTATTCAAATTACAAATGTATCCATATGTCCTCTACCATATCTGTCTTCTGACTCTGCCATGTTTAGGTATAAACTTTCTTCTGCATCTGTAAGAAAAAGACTTTGTTATGTGGATCATTTTTTACTATGGCCTGTATCTCTGATGTACTGTAATTTTACTCTCCAAGCAGAGGTTGGTGGGGAAGATTTTTAAATATAATATGGCCTTTTTTTCTGTCGCTACCTCCACCAAAAGAAAAAAGCACGGCATGTTATAATTAGAAAAGTCAAAATCTTCCCCACCAACATCTGCTTGGAGAGTACTGTAATTCGGAATGAAAGCCATGTCAATACGAGGGTTGAAATTATACTAATTATGAACAGTAAAAAAATTCACAATAAGGATTGCCATGATTATGATATTAGTACACAACCTGGTATGTGCTTTCTGATGATTTGAAAAGTAAAGTTATTAGGTGAAATTGTATTAGGTAGTAAAGGTCTACTAGAATTAAGGAGTAAAATTGTAATTTGACAGTGAGTATATTGTGACAAAAGTTTGTGCACATGCATCATATTAATCATCATCTTCATCTTCTGTGTTCTGAAGCTGAAATGAGGAGAATATTCTGCTGAAGTAACATTTTAATAATTAGTAAGAAGAGTGTGAGATGTGATTGGTTAGCATCATGCAAAGGTTTTGAATACTGTATTAAATGTTTGTAGTTCTGAGTCCTACCATCTGCTCCTGTAGATCCAGTCATGGTCAAGTAAAGATCCTCTGTAATGTATAATGTGTAAAATTTCATAGGATTTAAATTTTATTGTGAAAAAATGATGGCTAAAGTAGTACATGTTATATTGTATAAAGTAACAAACACATGACCATCCTTACATGTCCTTTTGCTTGGTATGGCACATGTAAACATGTACAATCTGTCTTAAGCGCTGTTGTCAAGCATATTCTGCGTAATGATCAAAAGGGAATTTTTTAGATTAAGGCAATTCAACATGATTGTAATTATAATGTTGTCTTGCCTTGTGCACTGTTAGACTGATCCATGCTCAAGTAGGTGTCATCGTCTGTAATAATGAATCACGATAATGATGAAATACATATAAAACTTTAAGCTGCACAAAAAAAAATTTGCAAGTGTGATGGAGTTTTATGTTCAATAGTTTAGTATCTGGAATATTAAAAAGAGCTCTCTTGGTTCAACATCTATATTCGTACGTCTCCTCTCTTGACAAATGGTGTCAGAAGTGGGATTATTCCCTGATGGTTCAACCGTTAGTAAGTGGAGACCCAGTTAGCCTAGTGACAGAGAGGAGAGGGAGGCTAAGATAGAGATGAGAAAAATCAGTAGTTTAGCAGGTGGAACATTGAAAAGGAAACTTCTTGGCTCAACGTCTATGTCTCATCTCTTGATAAGTGGTGTCAGAAGTGGGATAATTCACTTCAAGTTCAACTCCCAGTAAGTGGAAAACCTGCTAAGGCTGGCAGAGATAAGAGAGATACATTGTAAGAGGGATGCTAACATTGCGATCAAGAGTATGGTAGTTTAGTAGCTAGTAAAAAGGAGCTCTTCTGGCTCAACATCTTGACAGCAAGCTTTTCATATTAGTTGTTGTTAACTTTTTAAATTATACAGAACAAAAACATATATATAATGTTGTCTTGCCTTGTGTTCTAGTATTGGACTGATCCATGCTTAAGTAGGTGTCATCTCCTTGTGATTTCCCTGCCATTGGCATGTATGGACTTTCTGGATCCGGTTCTGAAAAACATCAATTTCATACAATAATACAGTAACTGTACATGTAATAATACACGTACATGTAATAATACACTCTGTGAGCTGGGGATCATTTCTTGTGTTGGAAATTACTGGAAGAAACTTGCTCCATAATGACTTCTACCAACACAGATGAACTTAAAAAGATTAGACTCTTACCTGGTTCAAAGGAGTTGATCACTTGGAAGGTACTTTGTAGTATAGCCGGCACACCGTCAGTTGTAGACAAGATTGTCCACTTCTGATAGCCGGGCATGTTCGCGACTATATCCTGTAGATGGCTGTGTTCCACCCCACAGAGAAGGACCACCACTTGTTCTGGGTGTGGGACTAAGTCCCTGAATGACGTATAGGAGAAAAGGTCCGTAAAGTCTGGAGAGACCAGCAGAAATTGGCAGCGGCTGTTCCTGATAGCTGTCTCTTGACTGTGGTGAAGAGGGAGCTGTTCGATTGACTCGAAGTACATCCTGATTTCTTCGTCACCCTGCCGAAACACGTCCGACAGAAACTCGCTCCACTGCTCCCCATCGGGGCTGTACATGATACTCAAGTCATAGAAGTCACCTCCTGGAAAACAAGACATCACAGGAGATGTTACAGGCAATTCTAATGTGATTTATGGACGGCAACACAAATGAATATTCTGGATTCTCTGCCATTTCTGTCATCATTTCATATTTGCTGCAAAATATCCACAAAACAAGATAAGCAGAGAAGTCCCTTTATTTTTTAGTACTACGACTAACAGCATGCAAAATAATTGGTTGCCCTGGGCAACCAAATTTTACTTGGCGCAACATATTTTTAAACCGAGGTTGCCCAGTGTGCTACCTGAATTTTAAGAATGCCCCCCCCCCCCAAATCATGCCCACTTGGCTTGCACCACTGTATCCGCCAGATGCTTTTTAATTTTAGGTATTAATGGCTACTTGTATGACTAGTATCAGTTAACTAAAGGCTGTTAGAAATATCGTCAAAGGCAATTGTAACATCACTTAATTTGAGGAAAGTAGTAACTTATAGGTGGGGCAACCTAAATAGTGATGGGCAACCTAGTTTTTGACATAGGTTGCCCACTGGGCAATTTGGTTCAAAACTGCTACTAATAAATATGAAGTTGCTAGAACCAGCAGCCTGGTACTATGCCAAACATGCAACTGTTTTTCATCAGCAACATCGCATTTTGGAGACATATCAGTATGCTACATGTATATATAACAAGCAGCACTTTAATTATGGAAAAACACTTTAATTATGGACTCCTCGCTAATAACTCTAAATTGCTTTACCCAATTAGGTTTATATTTTTTCTGAGTACATAGTAGAAGGTGACAAATATGTGGAGTGTGTTAATTAGTCCCTAGGGTATAGTCCAATTATACATAATTATACATGATTATACTATATTTATCTATAATCATGTATGATTATACATATTAGTTTTTCCATTATACATAATTATGTATATCCCTTTTGATCATTATACATAATTATGTATATCCCTCTTGATCATTATACATAATTATGTATATTCCTTTTGATCATTATACATAATTATGTATATTCCGTTTAACCATTATACATAATTATGCATATCCCTTTTAACCATTATATATAACTATGCATATCCATTTTGGTTATTATATATAATTATGCATATTAATTTTTACCATTATACCATATATATGACTTTTGGCTATTATTCATAACGATACATAACCCTCATGACCACTATGTATAACTATAGCCATTTTATTGTTATGAACAATAGTAATAAAATAGGTGTAACAAGTCGTTTGGTGTAATGTAGCCAGCTGCCACCGCGCCGCATGCCTGCGAAGCTGGTGTGTTACGCCGAGAGGCAGCTATACCATCTAAACAAATACAGATACAGAATTAGATAAGGTTATATTTTGGTGTCATGTGGTCTTTAATACTGACTATAGCAAGTAAGTGCTACACTACTTCAATTTATTGATACCAATGTTAACTGAAGTTTCATTTGTTGTTGCTAATGCTATCCATGTCATCTTTTTCTTTTACATAGAACAAATTCTTAGCCCCTCTTGCCAAAGTTTTGCTAATGCTATCCACGTCAACTTTTCCTTTACATAGAACGAATTCTTATCCCCTCTTGCCAAAGTTTTTGGTAATGCTATCCATAATTGCCTATCGAAAGCAGTTTAAATGCCGATCTGTGCACCTACATGTACATCGTAACAATGGCATGGCGACAAAAAATTGAAATTTTTTCTACTGTCCCAAAATTTCCCGAAAGTGTACATTGAATTGTCCCAGACAAAATTTTGGTGGCCTCTGGCCATAGGGACACCTTTGATTTCAGCACTGTCTGTTAGCCTGTGCCACGCCCAACAGCACCTTTCTGTTGACTGGCTCAAGAGTGAAGGTGCGAGAGTTTTAGGGGGATATTTTAAACCCCTCTAAAATGCTATTTTCTTGTTCTGTAGGTGAATTTTAAAGGAAGTTAGATACCCCTAGACTTAGACACTGATGAAGTTATCCACATGTACAGTAAAAAATGGCACCCCAAACACGAAAATACA